GATCGTGAGCATTTCTTCATATGTTTGTTGGCTGCTTGAATATCCTCCTTGGTGAAGTGTCTATTCATGTCTTCTGCCCATTTTTTAATTGGATTGTTTTGAAAAACAGGTCTTGATTCTCTTACAGGTTTGGGGGCTGGAAGTCTGGGTTCAAAGTGCCAGGCTCTAAGGGCTGGGTAAAAGCTGCTCAACCTCGGGCTTCAGCTCTGCCTCTTGCTTCTGGCCCAGTGGAGCTAGATGTGTCCCTTCACTCAGGCAGCTGTTGGCTGCTGAGGCTAACAAGGCTAAAGTTGACAAATAAAATTGTAAAGTCCCAGTATTACCAAACAACATGGCAGGCCACTAGTTGAAGTCCAGAGACAGTCCTAAGATCAGCAAGAAACATGTTAGGCTGCTCAATGAAGACTCAGCTACATGTAGGGTCCAAGCGTGCCAAAAAGCTGTAGAGACCTTTCTCAAAACTCCTCCTTATATAGTGGAAGCCAAATGCCCCCCCCCACCCATCCCTAAGGCAGCTATTCAACTGCTCCAGTAGGTTCCCCCATGGAGTCGATTACCAATCTCATCATGAGGCATAACTACAACCAGCTGCCCAGTCACTCAAAACCAGGCCCACATGAGACAAAGTGTATGTGAACTGCTGTATGGAAAGTGAATTTGCTCTAAATTTTCACCCAAATCACACACAAAAAAAAACCCCCAAAAACCAAGCCCAGTCAAGTTGACATATTACCTAACTATCACCGAGAACTAGTGTGTGTCATCAGGATGGCAGATTCATGCAGATGAAATGGTGATGCTAACTTTCTCTACTAGGTTACTGTGGTAGTTAAGGTTATATCTCAACTTGGCTGGGCCTGGTTTTGAGTGGCTGGGCAGCTGGATGTCGTTAGTTACTCCCCATGATGAGACTGGCAATCAAGTCCATGGTGGAATCTGGCACAAGCAACTGAGTAGCTGCTTAGGGATGTGGTCTGCTTCTTGTATATGAGAAGCTTTGAGAATAGTGTACAGCTTTTTGGCATGCTTGGACCCTGCATATACTCAAGTCCTCATTCAGCAGCCTGCCATGCTTTCCCCCTCTTGGGACTTTTAATGG